TTTGGTGGATTTTTGTTTGAATTTGCTTAATGGCCAACACAGCTACCCTTGCATACTTCCAAAGGGAACCAGCCATCCTTGGATCTTCATCTGAGCCATTGGCTTGCTATCCATGGTCCTGAATTGGAGCCCAGGGCTTCTAGGATCTGGATATGAGTCCACAGTCTGGGTTTCATAACCTGCTCTATACTAGACTTTTTTCATCCACCAGCCTTGCCTCATGCTCCTCTTTCCCTGGGCCAAACAACCTCAAAGCAAGTCCTGGTTTCTTTCTGAACCCAGTTCCAGGATCCAGATCTTTGCTGTGTGTGGGTTGTGTGTCTCCAAGTCATTTCCAACGTATGGAGACCCTAAGGCAACTCTATCCTGGGGTTTTCTTGGCAAGATTTGTTCATAGGAGGTTTGCCATTGCCTTCCCCTGAGGCTGAGAGGGTGTGACTTGCCCAATGGATTTCCATGCCAAGCTAGGAATCGAACCCTGGTCTCCAGAGTCACAGACCAACACCCAAACCACTATGCAACACTGCCTCTCCAGATCTTATCTAAGAAGCTCTAAATAGTGTGGAGCTAGGATATCAGATGGAACCCACTCCTTATTGAAAAGAGGGTAGCAGGGAGCCCAAACACCCGTGTAAGCGTTTCAGACTGAGACCCCCAATAATTGGCTATGCCAAATTAATATCTATTAATGGGAAGCCAGCCTCCACTTTGCCCTTTCCCTGGGAAAATATTTCTCCAGCCCTGACAAGGATAGTAATGACTCTGGCTCACAACCAAATTGACAGGAGTGAAAGGAGGAAAAATCTCTTTGGGTCGACCCAGGTTTTGCAAGGTTTTTCCTCTATCCTAAAGAAGTTTGTCTGAACTGAGCCATAGGGGGCATTGCCATTGTAGAAAGAATCCACTTTGACACCACTTTGAGCACTATAGCTCCATTCTATGAAATCCTGGGATCTGTAGTTTCACACAGCCTTCTCTGCCAAAGTGTGCTGGTGCCTCACCAAACCACAAATCCTAAGATTCTCCAGGATGGAGCCATGGCAATTAAAGTGTCAAATTTGTGTATGATTTTTTTTTTGCCCAGAAAACAGCCTTTTCTGTGCAGATTATTATTATTATTATTATTATTATTATTATTATTATTATTATTAGCAGAAAAAGCTCTTTTTCTGAAGCAAGATAAATTTTAAAAAATCCCCAAAAAACCCACATGCCAATTTTGCATAGAACCACTTCTCCAATGATCGCATTTTCTGCAGTGTGAACAGGGTTGTTTTTTTCTATGTAGAAAATAATATTTCTGTTTGTTGTGTTGCTGTGGTTTTATTTAATTTCTTGAATAGATATCCTGGCCAGCAAA